TCTCAAGAATCCAAAGATCATTTGTAATGCTTCAATTGTGTTCACATGCTGTTAGGAAACTACAGTGTAAACATCTGAGAAAAACTCTTGGTTGGTAGTTTCAGTGAACTAAGAATCTCTGTGGAAATTCAGCCAGAGACCCATCAAGATATATTTCAGGGCCAAAGGCCAAAGTTCTTCAATTGGTCATGTCTTCTTTTCTGCAATCTTCATTTTACCCAGGACCTATGGGTCACTTTAATACTAAAAATACAGCTTTCAATCCCCTTTGAAAACAACTTGACCAAGATTTTTACCATAATAATACAGAAAAGCAGGGATATGTGTGCTCACTTACCCAGAAACGTGTGGTTAGTATAAAAATCTCAAACCAATGATCAAGAGGTTCAGGCTGGAAAACTCTTGTGATGGTTTTGAAGCAAACTGTGGCTTTGCTCTGCTGAAATATAGTTGTCAGAAATCACATGAGGAAGATTCTGTGAAGCATTTAATAAGGCTGAGACTGGCGGCAGCAAAATTCATGTGCTTGTCAGTAAATGTGGTGTGGAAATTAGAACTTGATTCCTAAGGCTAAGAAGAAAGTCCAAACTGGCTAACTTGAAAGATGGAACAAAATATTTTGCCCTTTATTGATTAAAAAAAAAAAAACTTGAAGCATTTAGTCACAAAATTTTGAAGGGTGTATGTATGTGTGCATGTTTGTGTCACAATTTCAGGGATTTTTATCAGTCAAGATGCTGAGATATCACCTAATTCCACAATTTTGGGGGGCAAGTACTGGGAATCAAACTCAGGACCTCACATTTGCCAGGCAGGCACTGCACCTGTGAGCTAAATCCCCAGCCCCCTAATTCCATAATTGAGAGTCACATAATTTTAATATTTTCAATGTGCCCTATCTCTCTCAATCAGACTAAAAAACATCACCAGGCAAGGTTTAATCTGTGTTGTTATGGGGGAGGTAAAAAGCCTTCCTGGCTGGAGGAATCGTCTGCAAGACGTGGAGGCAGAAAGGACATGAGAGTGAAAAGGAGAAGGCGTGAAGGAGGAACCCCAATCCCGAGGAATTCCCAGAATGCTCCCGTGCGCTCACCTGTTTGTGTTCCTTCATGCCCTTTGCAAAATGGTGGAAAAGCAAGCAGCTCACGCTTGTCCACTGATTTGTTACCGAGCAGTGTAAGAAGGAAGCATTTTGGGGAACGAAATGTCATTCTGTTCTGAGTTGGGAGGGAGGTATTGCTCAGTCCAGAAGCTGCATCTGAGGGAATCATCTAAAAATAAACTCAAAGGGACCCCATCAAAATTTCTGACATCTTTTTTGAATTTAAATTGAAAGGAACTGCAGTTCTGGTAATCAAGATCTAGCCACACATGACTCAGGCCCGGCATCAACTTAGACAAATATCTGAGTGTGTCCTAGCTGGCCAACCTAGCGTCTCCCCATTTTCTAAACAGATGACTGTGTAGTATCATTTAAAACCCACAGTTCAAACAGTTTCATCTCCGTCTGCCGTATGAACTTTGACATGTTAAGAGTGTGCTGGGAAAAAGTTGCAAACAAGTACATTTATCAGACCTCCAGAAGCAAAATAAGAGCCACCGTCATGGAAGAAATGCTATTGTTTTGCCTAACCTTTGACACCAAGTCCAACACGTAAAGGCCAAGAAACAGATCAGATCTCAAAAGTCAATGCCTAGGCCTCTCTTTTAGTTTTAAATCCTGAATATAAACACCACAGTATTACAGGTCGCCACCGCCACTTCTGGAAAGCAGCACAAAGGAAAGAAAGAACAATTATCTAGAGAGTTGATTCTATATATTTCTTCCATCAAAATACAGCTTATATTTGCTTTCCAGCAAATAAGACAATGTATATGTGATACAGGTATCAAGAATTAAAACTACAAGCTAAGGGGTTAACTACATAAAATTATATATATAATTACAAAGTCTAATATTATCATACAGCATGTTTTATCAATATGTTTATGAAATCAGCTTTACCCCCCAAAAGATTCTATGATTTAAAGATATAACTGTTCTGTATCACAGAAAGCAACAACCATACAATGGATCCCCCACAAGTATTAATACAATGGAAACAACCTTACAAATAAAAATAATTTCCTGCAACTTAGAGAATCTAAAAGGTTAATCTACTGATTTCTGTGTTTCTCACTTAATATTCTCCTCTAAAATGCTACTCCCTCAATAACATGTAAATAATTTGCATTCCAAAGCATGGCATGGAAGAAACTTTGCCACTCCTGTAACCCAAGTGCACAAGATTATCCCAGGTGCAGGCAATTAATAAGAAGATTGCTCTATGCCCATGGTCCTTAGGGACCTGTCAAAAAACAGTAAAGAGACATTGGAGATCTCAGCTCAGTTACAAATAGAATTAAGCAGAGAAAACGTATGCACCCTGTTCTCATTTTCTCCATTTTCTTTTGAAATTGAGAACACACATAGGATTCACTTTGAAGTTCGAGCTGCCTGAATATGATATTATTGATTTCCATAACATGTTTTTGCTCTGCAATGCGGATGTGCATTTTTCAAACATATTAAGCAAGGCTTTGATCTGATTTGTTCCACCAGAGCACTCGGTGGAAGCTGAGAACCGTTTCTATATAAGGGTTGGCTGTGCTGAGGCGAAGATTGCTCCAGCTTGAAAGAGGTTGGAAATATCCCATCTGAAAGCCCTTTTCAGTCTTCCTCAGCCTAAACATTTTACTCAGAGAGGTCAAAGGTCACCAACTGTCAAAACAAAACCAAAATTACACAGTGCTCCTGCAAAGGAAGCTACGCAGAGTGGAAACTCAAAGTTCACAAATGAGACTTTCTAATGCAGTGTGCAACCGCCAGTAAAACTGCCCTTAAAAAGGAACAGGTATATTACTCTCGGTCCCAATGATTTTTACAAGTTGTCCAGCAAGTTTAAAAGACTAGCCTCTTAGGTATCGGTGGAGGGCTAAAGAATCTATTCTAGAGCTAGAAATGGGGACCCAGCCCAGACCCCAATCTCTCAAAGCAACCAGGCTATAAACACCCAGGCACCAGATGGTTTCATCAACCCCAAGGTTCATAAATCTTCTCTAAAGTTTCCAATTTCAAAAAGAGGTTCTTTTCTTTGTAGGGTTGGGGAGTAGGGGGAGAGTTTGTCATTTAGTATCTGACCCCAAACCCTGCGAGCCTCCAAAGCGTTCTTCCTCCGCAGACTGGAGACAACCAGAGAGTCTTCAGCTGGCTCCAAGCGCAACTTCCCCTGCCAGCCAGCTCACCATGGAGAGAAGCCCTGCTCTCCTGCTTGTCAACCTGTCTCATCACAGCTTCAAGAGGCTCCAGGAGTGTAAACCTTCAGGAATGTTGTTTATCCACTCATGCTTCAGGAAGGAACATGGCAAATAATTCCCATTTTTCTTAACACGAAACTGCTAACTTTAAATCGTATACAACATTGCTCAGGGGAAAAAAAATGGGAAAATGATTTCTTTTGAAGTCAACCCAATGGAGGGAATTGTAACTTTCTGAGAGCAAACTTTATCCTACTCAAAATTCTAAATATACTGATATGCTGAAACTGTCCTTCCTACTACCTGTCAGTGGAGAAGGGATGGCACAGGTAGGAAAGACTTAGGAAATTGGAGGTAAATCAAGAATAAAGAGCTATCCGTGGCCACAATGTGAGTAGACAATTCATTTCATTGATAAAGTCCTGTGTGTGGACACAGTATGTAATACACTCATGCATCAGTTGTGCTACAATGAGATAGAAGCTGCATCCAACCAAAGAAGGGTCTGCAAACATGAGGGGCTACTATTTTGATGTGAAAATGTGTGAATCTGAAAAGGAAGATATTGTAGGCACATCCATTTATCTTATAGTGTGCTGCATTTGAACTATATAAGCATGGCATTGTTTTACATTCTCATACTATCTCCCTCACTGCCCAGACTTCACATTAAAATAACTTCCCTCCCAGAATCACTCCGCCTCTCTAAGCCTATAAACACATCGTACCTTTGTGCATCACAAGGTTCTTGAAAGGATCAAATAGAAGAGAAAATGGGTATGAAAGTGCTCAGAGAATATGAAACTTTACACTAACTTTATCTATGATAATTAATTCATATACCAAAATACACACAAGATGGAATGATTTGAAAGTAAGACACTTGAAATATGTTAAATGCTTAAAATTGTTTACCATAAGGGAATTAGGTCCGTGCCTATTTAACAGCTGTCTTCAAGGATTATTAGAATAAAGCAGTTCTTAAACTGCGGAAAAGAAAAATTTGGGGTGAGTTCAAACTTGAAGGTGTGGATTATAAGAATTTCCACCAGGTTGGTTTGCTGAGCATTGAAGTGGATGAATCATTAAAGGAAACTGTGGTCTGATCTTCCTAGGATTCTTGAAGGGGCAGAATGAACACCATCTGATGTGGTTCACACTTTGTGATCAAGGAAAAGGAATGAGAGAGATGAGGTCATTCCAAATGTATTTGCCAGCTCCAAAATAGTCAAAGTATGACTTTTTAAAAAAACCTTATTTGAAGTCCTTGTAACTTTGATGTAAACATGAACATTAAAAAAATATCTTACTACACATAAATCATTTTCAAATTTTATATATTATGCCAACAAACAAATTATTTTTCTTTTGTTAGCATTTCTTTAAAGTACTTAGACAATTGTCTAAAACAGAAATAGTGACAGAGTTTTCTGGAACTTATAGGTAGAAGTAAATTTTATGACAATTGGAACATAAAGGCAGAAAGCTAGAATGAAAACACACTTTAAATGCTTCACATGTTGTGCCATGACATTATAAAAATATACTTGTAATGATTTCTAAAATTTTTATTAGTATATGGTTGTGATATATAATAATTATGTTTAGGAGAATTAATGCATCTATAAAAATTATTTTTCAAAGAAAACACACTCTACAGTATATAACAAATAGTTTAACAGCAGCCATTTTAAATGAATCTTCTATTTACAAGACACACCAAAGAACCCAAATCTACAATACAGGAATGGTAATATTAATATGTGAACAAGCATATTTGTTTTTCTGTGTAGCTCTGCCAAATCTTTAGATACTAAAGTATCCAGGAAACAAAATTCAGCCAGCTCAAAACATTCATCCTCTTCTTGAGAGATCATCAAATACATTGTCACAGCCCTGGAAGGCCAAATTCACTGGCAATCTTGTTATGGGATCCTTCACCTGCACTTTAAATGTATGTACATGCACGTGTGTCGTTTTAGAAACTTCTTCATAGAATAGAAACAAAGCTTAAATTCTCTCCTGATTTGTGGTGTGGAATTTTCATTTCTCTCATTCAGATTCTATCCTGAAAAGAAGGGAATTAAGGTTAACAATAAAAATGAATGGAAATAAGTTGAAATTTTAGACCTTTGTGCAAAAGAAAGTGTGATCCCTACTGTCAAGTTTGTTCCAATAGTGTAGTGTGTCACATGTCTAGGTATGACATGTGCAAGGGTGTGTAAGTGGGATACTCAAGTAGCTTAAAGACTCTCACACACCGCCTACCTGCTGCTTCACTGCTCCTGCCCAGAACGACCTCAGACTTTTTGTTGTTCCCAGAAAGAGAGATTAGGTGGCTGCTATCCCACAGAGGAAGTTTCAAGTGTAAAGCGACTTTAGCACTTCTGTGGACCAGCCATCCAGTAATGCCAACAACTGTGTTATGGAACCTGGCTTCCTGATTAATCCTGAAAGAGGAGACATTCGCGAAAGTACTAGAAAGACCCAAAACAGGATCCTGTTGAAACTTAACCTGGTTGTCAAGGAGAGAATTTCCACCCTCCATGAGCTACCTAGATCATTACGTTTGGCTTAAGTGGTTCTTATACCATCTTACCACTTTTCAGTTTTGTTTCTCTTGAAGACATACCAAAAACAAGTTCTTGTTTCCTACACAGAGACCAATAGCCAAATAGCTAATGCCACAAATATTGAACAAGAGGAAGAATTTGAAAATTGTGAAGGTCTCCCTGGAAACAAGAGGTGTGGGGAGCAGTTCCTTCCAGGTCACAAGAGGATTTAAGTAGCCTCTGGGCACACTTTCTTCCATTGCAACTCATCACTTTGGTGGTGGCAGCCTGTTGTGCACATCCTTCACTCAGTGGAAGTGATTCCACAGTGAGCTGTGACATGGGCCCGAACCTGGTAATAACCATATTGACATAATTACTAGTGAGGCCTGTGCAAAGTATTTCAATAGTTTAGCAATCCATAGCTTTCCAAGTTCTATGTAATGAACCACATCACCAGGTATAGTAAGCTAGGTAGCTTTGATGCTATGTACGAATAAATACACGCATGGATAGATATGAAAATTGTAGCAAATGGATTAAGCGATTAGAGGAGGTATTTATTATCACTGGTATATTTTTATTTCTTTTAATTTTCTCGTACATTAGATTAATGACATATCAAGATTAATACCAAAGTAGAGGCTGGCAGTACTGAAATCACAGTGGATAAAGACAAGGACAAAATACAAGAGGCAGGAAATGGAATTAGAGGCTCAACTGTAGGTGAGGGAAAGGCAGAGCCTAAAGATAAAGCCACATTCTCAAATAGCTTGAGAAGCTGAGCAAAAGCCAGAGGAAGGAAACCAAGTTAGGCTGTCTGCCAAAAACTGTGCTAGAAGAAAAGTATATCCACAAAATGTATAATGAAGCTAAAATCAAAGTCTGCATAAGCAAACCAAGCTGATTAGGGCATATGTAGATACAGTACTGAAATTCAGGAGCAGAGGTAGGTCTGAGACCAATGATACTAATGACTCTCTGGAAAACCAAACTACAAACAGGCCTGTAAAAGTAGACCATCAGGAGCCTGTTAATTTGACAAAAAGGAACTAGAAGAATCAAAGAGGAAAGCTCAAATAAAAAGACTCCCATAAGAGATCAGACCCACAGGAGGCTCAGGAGTGAAAGTTGAGATACGGTGGCCCAGAGGACAGGTGCTCCAGCACCCAGAGCTGAGGTCTCACACAAGGCTTGTTTGCATACTTCTTCATAGCTGCTAAACTTGGAATGCTTGGCCAACACACCACCTGCAAACAACATGTCCCTTACAATGTCAAGAGTGCAATCTGCAATTATTTGATACCTATGAAAATACTACCAATGATTAAAAGAAAATGCAATTAACATAGTTCAATCATGAGATAATTGAGGTATTAGAAATGGAAGACAAGAAATTTAAAACAATTATTGTGGTCAAATGATACAAAGAAAAATGCTGATAAAGAAATGAAAAAATAGGAATCACAGCAAAGAAAAAGGACATCAAAAGTGAAAATTCTAGCCGGGTGTGGTGGCACAGGCCTGTAATCCCAGCACCTAGGAGGCTGATGCAGGAGGATCCTTACGAGTTCGAGACCAGACTGGGCCACAAAGTGAGCTCAAGGCCAGCCTGAACTGCAGAGTGAGACCCTGTCTCAAAAAAAATACAAAAAAAAAAAAAAAGAAAATTCTAGAAAAGTACAATATCCAATCTTTCTTAAATCACAAAAGAGCTTAGTAGCAAAAAGAGGATAATGGAAAAAAGAGTCAGTTACTATTGAAGAGAGAATAATAAAAATTACCCAAACTGGAGGATAAAGAAAAATGAAAAGCACTTCTGGGATATGTGGCAAAATAATAAAGATCAATTTAAAGAGAAGAGAAAATGGGGTCCAAAATATTCAGATAAGTAATTTTTAAACTGCCAAGTAGGTGAACACAATAATACATAGATATACTAATCTCATTGAAACTCAAGTAGTATAAATTCAAAGAAAATCACGTATGGGAACATAATAGTCAAACCAAAAATGGCCAAAAATTTTTGCAAAGAAATGACACTTTGCATATGCATTGAACTACTATACATAGAACTATATTACATAACAACTGACTTCTTAATTTATGGACACTAGAAAAACATTGGCATGACATATTCAAAGTGCTGAAAAGAAAATTAAAATATGAGGTCTTAGATTTATAGAAGATTAAAAAGCAAAATATGAAAGGTTTATATCTAGCAAATTTCCCCTCCAAAAAATCGACATTATATATGTTTAAGATTATAATCTTTCATAAACAGCTTATAAGAAATGCTAAATGAACATTCTTTTATTCTAGTGGAAAATAATACCAGAGACTAACTTAGACTTCCAGCAAGAAATGGAAAAGAAGGCAGACATAATAAATGTATATTATATCATTTTCTCTGTTAAATTCTGTAGAATACACCTGATTATTTAAAGAAAAATTAAAGCATTATTTTGGAAAGCTGAGTACATGTAATACATATGGTCTTCATGGTATAAAGGGTGAGGATCTATACAATGGCAAAATTTGCCTAGTTTATATAGAATAGAATATTATTAATGGTTACTAGAGCAAATAGTAAAAAAAAAAAATTCTCATAATGCAAATGCCAAAATGCTCATTTTCAAGACCAGTATTTTACCTCAACCAAACCTAAGGATATAAATAAATTTAGTACCAAAGGAATAATTAGTTGCATTTCATTCTTCCTTAAATCTCTTGTGCATTGTTTCTTTGGGTTTATCCAGTGCATGTTATCAGTATAATGTATTACAGAAGTTGCAATAGTTCAAAGGAAGCTGTAAAGCACTGATTTAGTTGCAAAAGTCACTAGGTCTCCAATTTTAATTTCATTCTCAAGAAGCATTTCTATCATCCTTTCACATAAAGATGCATACCAAAATATCACCACAGTATTGTTCACACTGAGGTAGGGAGCAGATGGGATCTGGAAGCCTGGAAGGTAAAATGAGATATAAAACAGTTAGAATCAGACTATATGTACACATAGCAACATAAATCCATTGTCTATATATAATTGGATGAAGGAAAATTGAAACGATAAGATTTAGCTCTCTAAAATAATATTTTTAAGGTAAATCAAAAATTTGTACAAACATAATAATACATATCTTACAGTACCACACAAAAATTTGTTTAAATAAATTTACATGGTTGTTTTCAGGAAAGGGAGTGTAAAAGTAATACATAGATCAATGATAATATAAAGAAAGATGTAAGTTGCTAAGCACAAAACAATATTGGCTGTTTATTTATTTATTTATTTATCTGTTTTGAAAAGAAATAAGAAAAGTCCATCCAAAAGAGAGAAGACACAGTAATTTTCTAAACAAATTTTCTCCTGTTCTGAGTATTGAAGGATTCACTTGTATACTAGTTTTATAATTTAAACATACTGATAGAGTTTGTGAAGAGCACATCAAACCATACTGCAGTGACTCTGCAAATTGCAAGCACTAAGCTAAATTTCCAACATCTACATACATCCATAAAACCAAGTGAAAAGAGGGCTTTGTACATGATGTAGGCCCCAGGTTAACATAGTATAGTTTGAAAGCAAAAGCCATCTAATCAGCTCTTTTCTATAAAGTTTTCCAAGACGTATATCCAAAGTTATAATAAATGGTTTTAGAAGGGGTTTTGGGGAGTTGAGGAGGAATCTCTAACAGAACAGCACCCCCTAAAGTAGAAGGTGAAGAGATGTGAAAGCTTGTTTAGTAAAAAATGTTAATTAGATGATGAACATAAATATCTCTGCCAAGAGAATTTAAGGGATGAACATAACAGCATGAGAATACAATGATAATTGGAGGTAATATTGTCCAAGATGAGTATAAGCAGACTCCTTCATCCCACAATTCTCTTAAATATGGTGTTGACATCACTCCCAGTGAAAGGTCAGGTCTCCTCTGTTCCTTGAATCTGGGCATGCTGGTGACCATAAAAGAAAAGATTCCTGGAAACTGGCGTCCATAGTGTAAAGAAGCCCAAATCACATGGACAGGCCATGAGTAGGAGCTCTGCTGGACAGCTCCATGGAGGTGCCAGCTAGTAACCACCATCAACCCCCGCTCTGGTGAGAGGAAGCCTGCCAGGAATCTTGAGCCCTAGTTACCATCCAGCTACCACCTACATGAAGGATCCCAAGCAAGAATCAAAAGAAATGAAAAGAAATTGATTATAGCTTTAAGACTCTAAATTCTGGGTGAATTGTTTTGGGTTTTATATTGTTGTTGTTGTTGTTTTTCAGCAGCCAATAATTAGAACAACTGCTTATGTTCTCTTCTACTGAGGATTCAAAGATCCTGAACTATATTCCATATATCACCAGATCAATCCTGTGCAGAAAGGGTATTGCTGAAAATAAGTACTTGGCCTACCTGACTTCACAGTGCCTCAGCAGAATTAGAACGTTGCTAGCCATAGCTGGTTTGGGGAGCTCCCTGGATAGAAGGGAAAATGGAGAAATCAGAAATCTTCCCCAAACATTCATCATATGAATTCATCATAGCTTGTAGTAAAGTAACTATTTTGTCACAATCACATAGGTACACCCGTACTAAGCCAGAAGTGGAGCTAATAATATAATTCAAAACTCATTTTACATATATATAAATCTATATAACTCTTTAATAAACAATGTTCTAAAGAATAAGCATATTTCTTCTTTCAAAATCTGAGTTTACTCTCACAAAATCTTTTCTAAAAGGATAAGGCTTATGCTATAAGCTTGTAATATGGGGTGATATTGAAAGTAAAATAATTTCAGTATGATCTTCATGAACTGTGACAAAATGTCTGTTATAAGAAGGCTATACATAATAAAGTTATTTGTAACATTACAAAACAACGTTTTGAGACCCTGTATCACCTTGAATGTTCTTGCTTTGATTTGTTTATGTTCGTAATACTGGTATGTGCTACTGTTCTATTTTTTTGTTGGTTTGTTTCTCATGTACTACTCTCTTTAAAATAAAAAATAGATAATAAAGTTTCTTATGCTTGAAGTAACACTGAAATAAACTGCAAGATTTTTGAATTTCTTTTTAAACAAGGACAAATCTGTGACATTTCAGGGAGCCTTTGGTCTTAACCTTGGAAAATTTGGTTGCTTAGGATAAAGGCAGAGAAAATGAGCCAGAAACCTCTCAAGGTGGGAAGCTATTATTAAATGCTAATATATTCATTAAGGAATTGGCCAAACAGGAAGGTATATTCCACTTTTAATGAATTTTTAAACGCACAAATATTCTGCAGGTGTGCATTTTAATTTAACCTTTGAATTAACCTTTGGATCCATGGTTATCAGTGGAAAGGAACCTAAGTGATAAGATGCTATCTGAACCTTACTTTTTTTAATCTTTTATTACAGGTAGAAAGATAGGTAGATAGATAGATATAGAGAACTTTGAAATTCATTAAAAACATCCTTATTTCCACTTTCATATCCATGCACTTCTTGCAGAGCAATTTAAAGCTCCAATGGTATTATTTCTATGGGATTTCTATTTGGAGGTGAATGCCCAGAAATACCTCATATAATGGAAATTCTATCTACCATTTTTAAAATATATACTTAAAACTTCTAAACCAGTGATAGTCAATTGCATTCTGTGTGTCATAAAGTTCTGTGATACAGGTGAGATTGTTACAGTTATGTGTGTAATTTAGAACAAACATACATGGCTACACCCCATATAAACACACCAACACACAGAATGAGAAAAATGATGAGCTGTTTTAGAAGTTAAAACAGTTGAGTGATATTCACAAAATCAACACATCAGTGTGCAGGTTATAGAATTTAATCAAAGTACTAAGAAATGTGTTTAGTTTTTTAAACTATTATTGGATGATTTTAACAATTATCATTGGAGTATAATAATCAAGGAATTTAAAAAGTAAAAATTATTATTTTAGCAACAATTGCTCAGGCCCTTTAAAGCCTAGTAATTTGGTTTTCAATAATATAATTTGCTGGCCTGTAAACAAAAATTTTAAAGGTACAAATTGGTATTATTTGATTTTTAAATTCCCCCAAAGGTCCTTGGCCCTGAGGGTAGCATGATTGGAAGGTGTGAAACTTTTAAAAGATGGAACTAGTGGAGGTTTTTGGTCCTTGGGGACATCCCTTGAAGAGGATGTGGATCTGACTACTACTTCTTCTTCTTCCTGCCCTCCTCTTCCTGCCCTCCTCTTCCTCCTCCTCCTCC